ATCTTACTGTGGTTTTCTTCATATTTGTTGGCTTGGGGTTCATTCAGCTTCTTCAGTCTGTGAGTTTACAGTTTTTTCAAATTTGTATAACTTTTGGCCATTGTTTCTATAAATATTTTTTCTATTCCCCTAATGTCTGTCTCTGCTCCTTCTGGGACTTCAATTACACATATGTTAGGTCCTCTGAAATTGTCCTACAGCTCACAGATTCTCTATTCATTTCTTCTTCTTCTTCGTAAAATTTTATTGTGTTTTAGGTGAAAGTGTACAGCGCAAATTACTTTTTCATTAAAACATTTTATACAAATTGTTTTGTGATATTAGTTGCAATCCCTGCAATGTGTCAGCACTCTCCCTGTTTCCTGTCCACCCTGGTTCTCCGTGTCCATCCTATCCCTTCCTGCCTTCTCATCTTTGCTTTCAGGCAGGTGTTGCCCGTTTGGTCTCATATCCTTGAGTGAACTAAGCAGCACGTTCTTCACGTGTATTATTGTTTGTTTTACAGGCCTGTCTAATCTTTGGCTGAAAGGTGGACTTTGGGAGTGGCTTTAGTTCTGAGTTAGCAGAGTGTCTAGGAGCCTTAGTCTTGGGGGCTCATCTAGTCTGTCAGACGAGTAAGTCTGGTCTTTTTTTGCAAATAGGAGTTTTGTTCTACATTTTTCTCCCACTCTGTTTGGGATGGACTCTCTATTGTGACCCATCACAGTGGTCGGTGGTGGTAGCCAGGCACCATCTAGTTGTTTTTCTGGTCTCTTTTTCATTTTTAAAATAACTTTTTATTGTGTTTTCGGTCAAAGTTTACATAGCAGATTAGGTTCCCATTTGACAATTTCTGTACAAAATTGTTCACTGACATTAGTTACACTGTTCACAATGTGTCAGCATTCTCTTTTTGTTTTGGGAGGGTATATTGTAAATATTTTTTTGCATTAGAAAGAGTTTGCATTTAGATCATGAGACTTAATAGTGCCTGACACAGTGCCTGGCACAGAGTTGTGACTCAGTAAATACTTGTTGACCTAGGGAAACAAATATACCCATCCTTATACAGAATCTAGAGGGATGAGCATGTCTTTTGTAAACAAATCCAGGTTACGCTAATTATATATTATGCTCTTACAGAAACAAAGCTACTAAGTTATAGGGCTTGATAAATTGTAATTTTTTTATTGGAAAACAAATACACAACTTGGAATGGATTTGAGACAAATTGTGCCATAAGCAGATTTCCTTAAGTGGCTAGATAAAGTTAAAAAAGCAAGTAACAATAAAAGAGATGTTGCTGGTACAGGACCAGCAGTACAAAAAAATAGTGTACGGGTACCTGGATAATATACCCGTTCTGCAATAGTGCAACTTTAAATATATATTGTTGACAGTCCACAGTCCACACAGAGTTACAACTCCACACTTCAACAACAACAGGCTGACAGTTCCTAAAGAAAACCACTAAAAAAAAAAGGCATAACCCCCATGTTCCCTCATTTGACCATCTAAGTTCGGATGTGCACAAGGGCTTATATATATCCAGAGTAAACCACATGCAACATGTTACTTTATAAATTTTATAAAATAAGGTTTCAGGATAATGACAGGGAAGAAAACATGGAGGAACGAAGTCCTAATTACTATACGTGCATATTCTTTTGACAGTAGGGGGTATCCTTTTACAGATAAGTTACAAAGAAAAGGCAAATAAATAATTTTGTAGAAGAAATTTAACACATTCTGTACAACGTCTTCACTTTGCTGTTACCGTCTGTATCTTCATAGTTTACTTGACCATCACCATCAATATCTGCTTCCCTGATCATTTCATCAACCTTTTCATCTGTTAACTTCTCTCCAAGGTTTGTCATCATGTGGTAAAGCTCTGCTGCACCAACATAGCCACTGGTATCCTGGTGGCGTAGTGGTTAAGAGCTACGGCTGCTAACCTAAAGGTCGGCAGTTCGAATCCACCAGGTGCTCCCTGGAAACCCTATGGAGCCGTTCTACTCTGCCCTATAGGGTCACTATGAGTCGGAATCAACTCGAAAATGGGTTTGGTTTTTTTTATCCTTATCAAACACACGAAATGCTTCTCTAACTTCTTCATCGTGTCCTTCATTTTTCTTGGCATCACTGTCAGAAATTCCAGGAAGTCAACTGTGTCATTACTATCATCAGTGTCTACTTCATTAATCATGTCCTGTAATTCTGCTTCTGTGGAATTCTGCCCAAGAGACCTCATTACAGTTCCCAATTCCTTTGTTGTTATAGTTCCGTCACCATCCTCGTCAAACAGTGAAAAAGCTTCTTTGAATTCTGCAATCTGCTCTTCAGTCGGTCGGTCAGCCATGCTGCAAGTGCTACCGGTCTCTGAGATGTGATCACACAACCACTTGGCTCACTAGCTCCACTCAGACTCTCAACATTCTCTTTAATTGCAGTCTGGTTGTTTCATTTCCAGTGCTCTAGTTTCCCTGCCCCCTCTTCTTCTCATCTTTGCTTTAGAGTAATTGTTGACCTTTTGTTCTCATATAGATGCTTTTTTAATGGAGCACCACACTCACGGGTAATATCCTTTATTTTGTGTGCGAATCTGTTATTTTGCTAAAAGGTAAAGTCGGGATAGTTTCAGCTCCAGATTTAAAGAGTACCTCAGGGCGACAGTCTCGGGGAGTTCTCTAGTCTCAGCTTGTCCAGTAAGTCTGGACTTTTTAAGAATTTGAGTTCTGTTCTGTGTTTTTCCCCTGTTCTATCAGGGTCCATCTATTGTGGCCCTGATCAGATTGGTTGGTAGTGATAGCCAGGCACCATCTAGTTCTTCTGGTGTCAGGGTAGATGAGGCCATGGCTCGTGTAGGCTATTAGCCTTGTAGATTAGTTTCTTCTCTGAGACTTTAGTTTCCTTCTTTCTCTTTTGTTCCTGATAAGTAGAGACCAATACTTGTATGTTCATTTCTTTCCATCATTTTTCTATGTTTTCAGTTTGGATAGTTTCTATTGCTATGTCTTGAAGCTTACTAATATCTCCTTCTGCAGTATCTAACCTAGTGTTAATTCTATCCAGTTTATCTTTCATCTCAGACTTTGTATTTTCCATTTTTATAAATTCAACTTGGATCTCTCCCTCTCTTCTCGCTAGATATGTATATCTTCCATGCTCATATATACACGTGGGGTGTGTGTGTGTGTGTGTGTGTATCTTTCCTCTACCTTTTTGAATATCTGGATATTTAAAACAGCTGTTTTACCCATCTTGTCTATCAATTCTAACATCTGTGTCTTTTCTATATCCATATCTAATGATTGAATTTCTCTTTAGGAATATGAGAGATTAGGGGGATAGAAAACATATTTGGAGAAATTATGACCAAAAGTTTCACTAATTTGAAAAAACTATAAACCCACAGATTCAAGAAGCTGAAGGAAGCCCAAGTACAGCAAACATGAAGAAAACCATAGTAAGATTTCTCAACAAAAACTGTTCAAGTCAAAAGACAGTGGGGTGATATTTTTAAAGTAACTGAAAGGGAAAATAAAAACTGTCCATATATGTGCCTGATAAATTTTTGTCTGTCAGACACTGAATTTTATGTTTTGGGTGCTGCGTTTATTGCTTTTTTGTTTTGTTGAGGGGTAGGCCCTTAAATATTTTTAGGCTTTGTGTGGGATGCAGTTAAGTTACTTGGAATCAGTTTGATTCTTTTGAGGCTTGCTTTTAAGTGTGGAACCCTATGCGGCAGTTCTACTCTGTCCTATAAGGTCACTATGAGCCGGAATCAACTCAAGGGCAATGGGTTTATTGGGCAATATCTTTTTGAGACTCTGTGATGTTCCGTGTGTTAGGAAGTCTTTTCTTTCTGGCTGCTGAGCACATAAACTATTCTTGGTCCTGGGCGAAATTCAGAGATGGTTTTGTCTATTCCTTTAGCCTTGGTGATTTCCCCACACGTGTGCGCTGATAAATACTCAGCTAAACACTCAGGAGGAACATTCTACAGATCTCTAGAGCTCTCTCCCTCTGAGTACCTCTCTCTTCTCTGGTACTTTGTCACAAATTCTATCTACCTGATTGCCCTAAATTCCTAATCCTGTCTCCTCAATTCAGGAGGACCACTGGGCTCTCTTTGGGTTCTTCCCCTGCACTGTAGCTGGAAACTTTCTCCTGTAAAAGCTTGGGCAATCACAGAGCTCACCTTGCTTGTTTCTCTTTTATTGGGTATCACTGTCCTGTGCTGTCTGTGTCCAACGTCTGGAAACCATTGTTTCATACATTTTATTGAATTTTTTTAGCTGTTTAAAACAAGAGGGTAAATCTAGTGCCTGTTACTGCAATATGGCTGAAAGTGCAAGTTCTGTTGTTGCTTTTTAAACATACTTTGGGCCATGGTATGTAGCTACACAGGTTGTACACTGTATAACTCTAGATTACGATCTGATCACACCCTTCCTATTCCCACCCTACATTTGAGCAAAGTGGTAGCCGTGATCACAATGACTATTCATACTGAGCTATGATCAGTAAACCGCTTATTTTGGTAAAAATAGTAACTCAAATACAGATAATCTCTAATTTATGAATGTTATGATCTGACTGTTTGGTACGTGAATAAATCTTCTCATCAAGTCAGTATCATAAATGATCATTAGTTTCCCAGAGCAGATCAGTAATACAATTGAAGTGTAATGCTTACAGTATTCAACTGAAAATACCTAGATACCATTTATAACATGGTTTCTGTTGGAAGATGTAGTTGGAATTCCAACCAGAGATTCCAGGAACATATCTCCCCCATTTGTTAGTTTAGGGTATACACACCACTATGGTGAAGGGTGGTAGGAATGTAAGACTTAGGAATATAAAAGTTTAGATAGGTGATGAGGTAGACACTAACTTACAAACTATATATTAACAGACACAGATCTCTTTTTACCTATGTAAAAGTACAATACAAAAACATCTCTTCAGTTAATAGACTGACCTACGATGATAGCAAAATGAAAGGTACTTACTCATCCAACTCTTCTTCTTCAGTTTTAGAGCTATCAGCATAGAGATACTTGCTCATGTCCACAGGCCTTACGTTTTTTCTTTTTGTAGATAGGGGAGGAGAATCCTTTATAGTTACAAAGGTATCTGGCTCATCAAATGGGTTCAAAGACTGTGGAGTCTGTATCTCTTTAAAGGGATTATAGCTGTTACTATAATAAGATTCTTCTGGTTTTTTAGGTGAAGCTGTTTCAGTGATTGGTTCTACAAAACAACAGCAAAAGATGAATTAAACCATATCAGCATTACATGATTTTTTTATATGTTTAATGGTTTCAAAAATATACAATCTTGAATTAATAAATTATGGGACTGAAAGAGTACAGAGCAATAACGAAACAAGAATATAATTTAGAGGGACTAAGCGATCTTGCGTTTGGAAGATATTATAGCTAAGATCTTCGGCTATTTCTCCAGGAATGGTGCTCCCCAAAATGGCATATTTGGATTGTTAATGTTTCATGAGTCTCTAATAATATTAGTATTAAGATATGCCAGGTTGGAAATTTTAGTCTTCTTCCAAAAAAGGCAAACTTGTTGCCATCGAGTCAATTTCGACTTATAGCAACCCTATAGTGACCCTATAGGACAGAGGAGAACTACCCCGTAGGGTTGCCAAGGAGTGGCTGGTGGATTCAAATAGCCAACCTTTTGGTCAGCAGTTGAGCTCTTAACCGCTGCACCACCAGGGCTCCTTAACCTTCTTAGAGGTGCAATATTCTATTGTTGCTTATTTGATTTCACTATTTGATTGCCTGTCACCCAAACTAATATATATTTTTTTGTTTTAAAATGGATTTAATTTTGAAATGGTTTTTGAAAAGTCACACCAACAGAGACCACTCAGACATTAGCTCAGAAAACTTGCTTTGTCTTTATATTGAAAAAAAAATAACAAAACCTAAATGTCCGTCAATGATGAATGGATAAACAAAATATGATACCTACAATGGAACAGTACTCAGCTATAAAGAGAAATGAAGTCTTGATACATGCTACAGCATGGATGAACCTTGAAAACATTATGCTGGGTGAAATAAGTCTGTCACAAAAGGACAAATATTATATGATTCCACTTACGTGAAATATCTAGAATAGGCCAACATATAAAGACCAAAGTTTATTAGTGGTTACCAGGGGTGGGAAGAAGGAGAAGGAGGGAGTCATTGCTTAGAGGGAACTGAGCTTCTCTTAAGGTTCATGGAAACATTTGGAACAGACAGCAGTGATGATTACATAACATAATGAACATAATTAATGTCACTGAAGTGTACATGTAAAAAATGTTGAAATGGCAAATGTCTTGTTTTATATATATATTGACCACAAAAACATTTTTGTAAAAATAACAAACTAAAAAACTGGATTGAAATTCTACACATTACGGTGAAATGATTATATAGTGTAAAAAAATTCATAAAATCTTATTGAATAATATTGAAATGTATTTAAATACAGCTTACATTAGAGAAGAGACTCAGTAACTGTGTATCTTTTGTGACACCAGGATAATATTCAAATTTAACACCACTAACCTCTTTCTGAGCCCTAGTGACGCAGTGGTTAACAGCTACAGCTGCTATCAAAAAGGTCAGCAGTTCAAATTCACCAGCCGCCCCTTGGAAACCCTACGGGGCAGTTCTACGGGGCAGTTCTACTCTGTCCTAGAGGGCGGCTAGGAGTTGGAATCAACTGGACAGCAATGGGTTTGGTTTTTTGTTTTTTTTTAAGCTCTAATAATTTAAGTCAAGCATTTTCTTTTCTCCATAGGAGAAGAGGGAGTCAAAAGTTTTGCCTATTCAATTTTCATTAACAAATAGCAAGTCTCAAATGCTTAAGAAATTGACAAAACCAGTCAATGGAAATAAGATTTTTATTTTTACTTCCATGAAGAGGATTGTAAAAATTGATTCAAGCAAATTCACCCAGTTACAAAATCAAAAGCAAAGAGAGTATACAAACTATAGAGCAAGATTTGAAGATGACAGAACAGACAACAAAGGAGGGTTTAAGATAAGATTATTTCATATAAAAGCTAACAAACACATTTAATAAGTTTCTAAAAGAGTCACTGAAGCACAGAATGTCATAAATATGAGAGGAGAATTGAAACTGTAAAAGCAAAAAAAGAACCATCTAAACAACTGCAGCACATTTTTCCCCCAAATTCTTTTGTTACCTGAGGATGCAAGTTTTTAATGAATAAATTATTTCTAGAAAAATACATATTATTCCAATAGAAAACTGTTACTCCAAGGACTCCAGGAGGCATATATATTTAAAGAAAATACTGGTTGCCACATTTTTTTCTTAGATCTATAAATGCTATTAAAGATTCTTAATTGGGTTAGTTAACTTCTCCTTAATAGAAAAACAACCTTATGCTACTCCATTCTAAACCTCAGTAAACAGACTCACATAACATCCGCATTTTACGTTTGTCTGCTAACTGTGCCCTCTCCCCTCCAAGGTATTTTTGTAAGCACGCTATGCTAATTTTTTTTTATAGCAACATGTAAAAACATTAGCATAGGGCGCTTAAGAAAATATCTCATGGGGTGAGGGCACGGTTGCCATACAAATGTAGAAGGCCCGTGTTATTTGCATAGAAATACAGTATATATACAGAAAAATAACTTAATTTTGAAATGAAAAGTTCAGATACTGATGTCTCAAAATATTTGGCTAATATTTTTGAAACTCAGTATAGGCAAATGTATTTAGTAAGCAACTGAGGAGAAGCTGTGTGTTCAAAATAAGACACTTGGTTAGGAATTCTGGCTCCAACTCCACCTTTATTTAACTAAAATTTTTGTTCAAATCACTTAACTTCTCTGATCCTAATCTATGAAAAGAGACTGTTGAACTAGATCATCTCTAAGATTTATTGTAACCTCTAAGATTTAAAATGTATTCATAATATATAGCCCATAAACAAAATAAAATCTCATTAATTTAGACTTACTAATTTGAAATCTGGTAAGAAGGAAGTAGGTAAGCAGAAGGAGAAATGGATTATGAAATGATATTGCTCTAACAGAGTGAATCCTAAAGCTGAAACCTCATTTTCACCATGACAGGCAGTAGCAAAATTATTTAAAGCTCATGAAGATTTCTTAAAATCAGTCAAAAAGATGTAAACAGTGGGTTAATCATTCTTGCATTTACTTTAAGCAAATAGAGTTTAAAATTAAACAGAGGTCTCATTTCTTCAACAGTCCTTAACCAAGTTTTAAGAGTTCAAGACTACTTGATTAAAAAAATGACTCGGGAAAAAAAAAAAAATCCCTGTTATTTTTCCTTACAAGTATGTTGCATATACGATGGCAGTGGTTCTCAACCTTCTTTCAGCTCTACGCTGTTCACATGCACAACCTCCTCTCACTAGTGACTGTGATTCTCAGCCAGAGACATGGAGTGGGGAGTGGAGGGGCTCATTAGACTCAGGGCAGAGGAGGTGTATAGAGGGAGAAGACACCCCACCATCCCAATATTGCTATGTCCCACAACCTGACCTCACTTGGTCACTATTGAGACTGTACTGTATGCCAGTTAGGTGAAATACTGTTATCTCCAACACTAGAGCTTTACTATCTGTCTGACCAAATTAACAGAGAATTAAAAAATAAGCCCCAAGTAAATGTCTATGAATTTTCTTTCTTTTTTTCTTTTTAAACAGTTCAGTGGAAGCTACCAAGAATTGCTGATCAGCTGCAAGGGATATTGAAGACGATAATATTACCATTATTTAAAAAAACTGCTTTTAAAATCTCTTTAAAAACCTTGGCTTGCCCTTATAGTTTGAGAAGTCGACTACATTAAGAGTTCAACAGTAAAGAAAAAACTTGTTACCTTCTGAGTCAGGATCACCAAATGGATTTGAATTCACAGTGGCCAAGTCCTTTTCTGCTTCATCCAAAAAGTTAAGTTTGTTGATAAGCTCTGAAAATAAACATATGTGTTATTTCATTATAGTTACGGTTAAGGGTAATTACACATTATTCACAAAACATTTCAAATTGTAAAAATTCACACTAAAAATACCTGCAAATAATAAGATATAGCATTTACCAATGGCAGAATGACATTCAAGTATTTTGTAGCATACCAACATTTTCAAATTAAAAAAAACAAATACACACATATTATTTTGAAAATTATATCAGATAATGAAGCTTTCACCTGAATCTAATTTGATTCAGTAAAAAAGCACTGACATCAATTTCAAAAATAACCTTAACTCCCAACTATGAACAATTCATGTGGGTTTAATATAAGCAAATATTGCAAATATTTTTTAAAACATACATTTATAATATATAAACTCATGGAAGAAATATCACCATGTTATGTGACCAAGTATTATCTCATAAGATGTTTTAAAATCACTGTCTATGAAGGATCCTGACATAAAGCTT